ATTCCAAAATATTGTTTATAAATGTTTGTTTTCATGTAATTGGGGTTGGATATAAATGGTCAATGATCACAGTCAATCTCTTTTTAGAGGAAAAAAAGGGGAATAGGATATAGAAATGAATACTTTACATTGGTATGGATTTTCATTTATTGATACAAATTTAAGGTCAATTTTGTTATATGTATATTTCTCCTCTTGTTTAGGTATTGTGTTTGTATATCTCATTTAAAATGTAATGTATAATTAAGTACAAATTATAGATAGTTACCTATAATAGTCAAAACATATAGTTAGGTTAGTTAGATTTTCTAGATATATAAAGATATATTTCAAATGGATAGGCATCCTTCAAACCTTTCAAAGACCTACAGAATATGGAATTTTAAATGGATTAGGGTATTTCATGACTATGAAACACAACTGCTCCTGGCAAAATCAATTATGTCTGAGAGGAATATGGGCATCAAAGAAACTTGTTATTGAGTTTGCTTTTGATTAGCAAGACTAATCATTTGGGCAAAAAATTGCTAAAGAGTGACTTCAAACTTTGCCTAGACTGTTTGACTGTACCTGTATAAACTGTACATGCAGGACCACAGGATAGTGAATGCTGAACTTGCAAAACAAGATGGACAGTCCTGAAGGGTTCCTGTTTCATGGAGGAGTCTGTCAGACATTCTGTGATATTACTGCTTAGTAGTTCTTGAACCCTTATCCAGATTCTCTAGAATTCTGCATGAACTATAATGTTGCTGATGAATAGCTTAATCATGTACTCCCAAAATATAAATAATCAAGTTATTTTTTTCTTATTCTTCTCTGCTGCAGCATGATAAAAGAGCTGAGTTTCCAATATTTGAATATACTTGGAACTAGATACAGAGAAAAAGACAACACTTGAAATTGTTGAGCAAAGAGTAAACTTAAAATTATAGGAAAAGTTATGCTACAGAATACAAACATTGGAAAGGAAAATGTTCTAAGGTTAATTGTATTAGGCACCTAAAAAGAAGAATGCCTTAAACTCTAAGGATGCATAAGAAAAGAAATTATACCCCCCCACACACAACAAAATCAGATGAAATTGAAAACCAAACACCAACAGAAGTCAATGAAGCCAAATGTTGGTCCCTTTAATACAGTAATAAAAACAACAATACAGTAATAAAAAAACCCAAGCTATAAAATGAAAAAGGTGACATCAGTCAAGGATGAGAAATAAAAGAGGAGGCATGCTAAACATACCAAGAAAATTGATAGATAACCAAAAAATGCTGTGGATGACTGCATCCACACAAATTAATAATATACATAAAAATCCATTTTCTTTAAACACAAAATTTTACAATTATTTTCATGGTTTTCAAATATCTCACTTTTATCTTACTCAAAATCTAAGATGGATTATCCAAAATTCCTGACTACTCCATAAACAGGCAAACAAAGGGTAAGCATACCTCTGAATTTCTCTTCATTTCCACCTTCCCCTAAGAATATTCAGCCCCCACCTCAGGATCCTGAGAGTATTGGCCCTAAATAGGTCATCAGTAATTACACAGGACCTGGACTCCTCTGGGTCCAGCACCCCTGGGTCCAGAGATGGCTAGAAGGGGACACGTAAGAATGTCTTGACTTCAGATGTTGTTCTTTCTTGTGCCTATAATGAATGAAGGTGACTGAAGCAGGGAGAGATGTTAGTATGCCTTCAGTCATCCTAGATAAATTGTCAGGATGTACCTTACTGTCCTCCAACTTATGGATCTTGCATTTCCAGTTTTATGACAGTGAGAGTGTCAGTTGTCAGGTATGATAACGTTTTTTGCCATTTCCATACTTTGTCATACTGTAGTAGAAATACTTGGTCCCACTTTGGTAATGATTTCAACCTAATAACAACTTTTAATATTTAGGGACAGTGCTGAGTTCTTAAGCCTTCTTTCAGTATATTTTTAGATTTGTAAAATTAGTGAACTTTGAACAGGATTCCTAAGAATAAGTGCTTGCACCTTACTGAACCCCATTGACCAGAGTATTAGCATAACCTGGGTATCTATTTATAAAGTTGATTACCAGCTTCATTGCCATAATCACTGTTTCCAGAGACACTGTTTCCAGATGAGTTTCATGTATATTTACTAATATAACCAATTTCATGTGAGATTTTTACCTGCTATTCAGGTCAATAATTGTGAGTTAAACTATTGCAGAACTGAAGTTCATTAGGTCAGCAGCAGCAAGCTTTACAGGTGACCTCTGCTTTGCAAACTCTCCATGTAAGACTCCATGAGTCATGGGCCCCACTCGTTCACAGAATAAGAAAAATTCTGAGTAACTAGGTACATGATTTTACCCCACTTCCCTTTTTAAAACAGCATAGCATCCAAGTGTTAAATTGTTAGTACAGCTACCCTGATAGCCATTAGCAGGATGGAGAACCTAGCATCTAGAATCAGTCAGATAATCGAAGGGTTTTTCAGCTCTCTGTGGGTTGTTCCTTTCCTTTTATTTTTTTTTTTCAGTCAGAGGTGGAACTCGGGGCCTTGTGAATGCTAGATAGCTGCAGCACCACTGAGGTAAACCCCAGCCCCTTTCCAAATATGTCTTAGTGCTTCTCCTTTCTTTGCTAGCTTTGACATTCACTAAGGTTTGTGCGACAGAGATCCAGAAAAAAACAGATCAAGACAATGAATTGTTCAAAAGATATAACCCATAAAATTGGAAATTTGTAACTCCAGTGGGTACAGACTGGAATGCTTGGGAAGAGTGAAGGTACAGTCTCAAATTCAAGGCAATCTAGATGCAGTTTAAGGAGATCTCAGTTTTTCTGTTTCTTCTTCCAATTGGTCATATAAAGTTAATCACTTTATAAAGGATTAGAGTTACTTTACTCTGAATTAATGTTAACTAATAACTTAAATGACAATATCAGTGAAAAACAACTTCATAGAAACATGCAGAAGTATAATTTGACCAAAATTTCTATCAGGACATAGTCTTGTTCTTATAATTAACTATCAAATTAGGTATGGATACCTAAAGATAAAATCAAGAGAAACAAAAATAACTGCTACTTTATAAAATGTTCATTGTACTTCTTTTCCTGCATCAACATCAATGCAGTCATAGGAAATGAAGCATAAAAAGTTGGAATCATTAGTATTGTTGTAAAGAGCATTGGCAAAAGGAAAAAGAAAATAAAGAGCATTTCATCCTACCACCCTAGTACTTTCCATAAATACATTATTGCATCTGTAAAGTTAATTTAAAAATATCAAATTTTCATTCTAAATGGTCAAGTTTAATGAGTTTATACTTTCAAGAGGTTGAAGAAGAGAAATTATCTTTATTTAATGTTTATTTATACCTTAAAATGAAAAAGTGTTTGTCTTAAGATAAATACAGCATAATCAGGAAAACTCAATGGACAATTGGGTCATGTCCAGGCATAGCTGGCCTTGCTGAAGGATGAGGGCAGGAATGACATTAAGTGCAGAATATGGCAACAATAGCTGTGAACCAGTGATCATGGTCATCAGCAGCTGTGAGATGAGTACAAGATGCTAAGGGAATGTGATAGCAAGTTTTATTGTATATAGGGACACAAGGAAGGCTTTAGTTAGCACATGACATGTCATGTTTTTGAAACATTAGTTGGAAAAACCATACCACAGATTAGAGTAAGTAAAAGGTAAAAAGAACAACAAATCAGAAATAATGGAGGCACAAAGTTCAATTTGAAATACAATATTGCTGAAGAGAAGAATGCAGATACTCTATGAGACCATATGTTAAAGTTTGGTACAAGTCATACAAGCAAGCACCATTTGTGTGTGTGATAGAAATTATGTCCTTGAGAACAAGATGGTCATCTGAGAAACACACTGGGAAAAAAAAACCGTATTTCTATATCAAAATGCCAGAGTGAATTAAACATATTTAAGGAAATGGTGTTAAGACATGGGACATGGGTTGTAATTGAATTCTGACTTCAGTATTTCAAGAAAGAAATGATGGCATCTTTTTCTAAGAACATGTTTGTATGGTTTTAAATGCCTGGATAAGAAAAGGATGAAAATGAAAGACCATATGTTGTGTTAGATGGGAGGTCAAGGTAAGAAAAAAATTAAAAAATGCAACAAAACTTACGTACTGGGTATTGAATTCTTTTTATTATATGAAACAAGAGAAGTGGGAGACAGCTCTTAAGAGAGAGGGGGGTAAATTTTTCTTAGGATGCATTGAGCCGTAGATGACTGTGAGAAAAAAGACCCAGAGAACAATTAGTCAGCAATGAGTTAGCTAAGTCTGTAGGTTAGAGAGACTGTTGTATCTGAATTTAATTGATAACCTAACACATTAAAGTACATGTGTTTTTCTTGGTGCTCATATAGAATTATGAGGATCAGGTATACAAAAATAATTCAGGAAAATTCACAGAATAAGAAACTATAGAATGAAGTGAACTATGGTTGCCTAGAAGAAGCATGTAGGCAGGGAAGAGATATTTCAATACATTTTGCATAGCAGAAGTAATTAGGACTAATTAGTCAATGTTAAAATAGGAGAACATATTAAAGCAACATTAAGAAAAGTCATTCATGATCATGATGACTAAACATACATGGATGTAGAGATTACAATAACTTTGATGAAAATAGATAAATTAATGAAGAACATGCAACACTCCATGTGTGTCATAGAAACATATCTGTTTTCACATGGAGAAGGACTGAGAAGTGTCAGCAGAGTATACAGGACTGGGTTAGCAAGTCATCATCTATCAAGGACAATTGACAAAGTTAAGAAATTAAGTGTAAAAAATTTCATGCTACAGTGAAACATAGAAATAAATAATATTAAATAAATAATATTAAGTAAATAATATTAAAAAGTCTACATGAGACAAAATAATGGAGTTGATCTATGATTTCATACAGGTTCAACAACTGGAAATTTAAGAGCTAGTGATTTTTTTTTCTTAAAGACATTGGAAGCATATCATGACTGGAAACAAAACTGTCATTTCCCAGTTCCTCCTCCTGGGCCTGCCCATCCCCCCAGAGTACCAGCACCTGTTCTATGCCTTATTCCTGGCCATGTACCTAACCACTGTCCTGGGGAACCTCATCATCATCATCCTCATCCTACTGGACTCCCATCTCCACACACCCATGTATTTGTTTCTCAGCAACTTGTCCTTCTCTGACCTCTGCTTCTCCTCTGTCACAATGCCCAAATTGCTACAGAGCATGCAGAGCCAAGACCCATCAATCTCCTACGTGAGTTGTCTGACACAAATGTACTTTTTTATGGTTTTTGGAGACATGGAGAGCTTCCTTCTTGTGATCATGGCATATGACCGGTATATGGCCATCTGCTTCCCTCTTCATTACACCAGCATCATGAGCCCCAAGGTCTGTGCTTGTCTGTTGCTGCCACTGTGGATCCTGACCATATTACATGCCATGGTGCACACTCTGCTCATGGCTAGATTGTCTTTTTGCAAAAACAATGTGATTTTCCATTTTTTCTGTGACATATCTGCTCTCCTGAAGCTGGCCTGCTCAGATACTTCTGTCAATGAGTTGATGATATTTATCTCAGGAGGGTCCATCATTCTTGTACCATTTCTACTCATTGTTATGTCCTATGCAAGGATTGTCTGCTCCATTCTCAAGTTCTCTTCTACCCATGGCATCCAAAAGGTCTTCTCCACCTGTGGTTCCCATTTGTCTGTGGTATCTCTGTTTTATGGGACAATTATTGGTCTCTACTTATGTCCATCACCTAATAATTCTAATGTAAATCTTATTACCATGGCGATGATGTACACAGTGGTGACACCCATGTTGAACCCCTTCATCTACAGCCTGAGGAACAGAGACATAAAGGGAGCCCTAAGAAGAGTTATCTACAGTAACAAAATCTCACTGTAGTGGATTTTATTTAATAAACATATTGATGTTTGTAACATGATAAATAAAAGACCCAGAGACTGATATTGGGATTCAGTCTTCAAGCTGAAGTTCAGAAATGCAAAGCAACCTAACCCTAGACCTTACCTCTACTTGAGACAGAAAGACAATCCTGGCTGCATCAGACATCAGACTGGAATCCCAGGCTTCTGTGCTTTACTTACTATGGTTGGAGAAGTCTAAGACTGAATGCCAGCTCTGAGCCCTTGCTCCTGTTTTATATACCTCCCTAATAAAGGCATGTTATCCCATGTGCTTGGATCGAAAGAATGACCCTCTTTATTCTTCACATTTGTGTAGGCCATGGAGGCCTTGAACTAACAGAGATCTGTCTAACTCTTAATCCTGTGTTGATGGGGGATGTCCTTCTGTATGCTGTGAATATATGTTTATCTTAGTGGTTGATGAATAAAGCTGTTTCAGCCCATGGACAGGCAGCATGTAGCCACGCAGGAGGTATAGGTGGGACGACCAGGCTAGGAGAATGCAAGAAGGAGGAAGGCAAAGAGTGAGTGAGCAGAGAGATGCCATGTAGCTGATAAAGAAGCAAGAGGCCCAAGACCCCAAGTCCACCTCTAGTTGAAAACAGAAGAAAATGAACAACACAGAGAAAGGTAGGAAATCATTCCATGACACTATTTGAGTTCAGTTGCGGGAGTCTCCATCCTGCTAATGGTCGTTAGTGAACTGCACTAACAATTTAACACTTGGATGTTATATTTGGTAACAAAGGGAAGAGAAATGCAGGAGAAATAGTACAACTAGTTTCTTCGAATTACTCTAATTCTGTGAATGAGTGGAGGTCATGTCTTATGGAGGCTTACATGCAGAGATTACAAAGCAGTGGTCACCTGTGAAGCTTGCTGCTCCTGACCTAAGGGACTTCACTCCTTCAATTTTCAAACTCACAATTCTTGACTTGAATAGCAGATGAGAAACTCCCACAGACACATTACTAGCAGTTAATATATAAGCAACAGTATGGCATACTGTTGCAAAGTATAAAAATGCCAAAGAATGCTGTCATACATGAAAACTGCCACTCATACTGTCATAAAACTGAGCTGAACTAGAACCCAGATGCAGATGGAGAGGACAAGACCAGGTTGCAGAAACACATAGATACAGCTGACCTGAAAAAGGAGGAGCTAACGGGCCCCCAGACTGATAGCTGGGAATCCAGCTTGGGACTCACTCAGTCCCCCCTGAATATGGGTCTCAGCCAGAAGGACTGAGCAGTCTAAGGGACCTCAGACAGAGGAACCAGGATGTATCTCCCATGGAGGGATACTGCCTTAACCTAGAGATAGGAGAGAAGTCCTAGTTCCTACTTCAAATGACTTGACAGATTTACATGACCCACTTGGATGGCATTGCCCTACATGTGGAATTGGGGTGGGGGGATGGGAGGGGAGGGTGGTCAGGGTGCATGTGAGGGAGCTGAGAGGGTAAGAGGGGGAGAGGGAGGGAGGGATGGAGAGAGGAAGGGAGAGGGAACTGGGATTGACATGTAAAATAATAAATTAAATTTAAAAAAAATCATATTGTGTCCCGCGCTACCGCCTCGCCAGCAAGAACGACGCGGCACACAGATAGGATCCTTCTGCGATAATAGCTTTAATGCTTCTTGAGAGGCAGAGCATAAGCTTACACCAACTGTAGAGCGAAGACCCCGAGAGCAAAAACCCACACCCTTATATAGAAACTCAGCCTCGCTTAGGACGTGTCACTCCCTGACTGGTTGCTCGCTCATCAGGCCGAATGACGCCACGGGAGAGGCGCGGGAGAAATCCCCTTGCACGCGTGCACAGGCTTATTTATGCCAACCGTCAGCCGGATGCCAGTGCCATCTTGTAATGGAGAATGTAGGGACGGCTCCCTACATCTCCCCCTTTTTTCTTATTTAATGATAAGGCTTTATATTTTCACAAGCAAATAGGTCACCCATATGTTGAGGGATAGAGGCAGAGGTCGTACCTTCCCAAATAAACATTAAGACCGTGTACAAGAGTCGCCATCAGGCTGTTAGCTTGACCCGAGGCGCTCTCGACCTGTCCTCTGCCATTTTTCTGGGAAAGGGGAACTAGGGCAGGCAACCCTTATGCAGGACAACGTGCCTCCCAGAGAGGCCTGCCTATTGAGCAACTCTCTGTGCGATGCCTTGCTCAACATCCCTCATGGGCTGCTCAAGCCAGACACTCTACCCTGTGCAATGAGCCTAGGCTCCGGGTGTGCAAGAGCTATCCGGCCGGCGGCCTATTGCTTAAGCATAGACAGCCAAACATCAGCTGACGTTCCACTATCAAGTGCAGCAAGTGCCTGGGCGATAACCACCTTATCTCTTTTTGCCTGATTCCTGAGTTTTGCAAACCAGCCAAAGAAGCAACAGCAGACCACAGCAGATGGCTGCAAAGAATAACCCCACCCCCACCCATTCCTTAAAATAGGAAACAACCGAGGCAATCCAAGATGATAGGCCCTCCGTCAGGGACAGATCGAGGCGGGTGGAATTAATCTGGATAATAGCGGTCCTCAATTCTCGGAGGGTCTGTTCAAATTCTGCGGTCCAATTCTGTAACATGAACTGAGAAAGACTCTTAGACAAATTAGCTGCTTTGGTAAAATTTTCATATTGAATGGAGGTGACACATAAACCAGGGAGCTTCTGCTCACAGCCCAATTGGGCCAATTGCCATAATATGTACTAAATCTATACGTTGGTTCACCAACATCAAGCCCCCTGAATTTGAGTATTGGCTGAAGTCTGTTTATCCAGAGCCTCCGAAACTGTCCTTAGGCAAAAAGGCTAGACCCAGCTCCCTATTGGTGGCAAAGAATCAGGGAAAGACCTGAGCATTATACATCACCAGCATTGGAAGTGGGAACGTTGACATGATTCCCCAACGAGGCTCCCCTTGGACAGCTGGGATGCTGAGTATCATCAGTGACATCAGGGGGAGCAGTCGGCTCCCCTTTTTCTTGTCCTCGGGTCTCCACATCTTTCTGCTCCAGGACCATCCGAGTGAGTCTTTCTGGGACCCAGAAAGGATTTTCTTCATTCTGTGGGAAAACACAAACAGCTCCCCTGGATCTTATTAGAATAGGATCCGGGCCTTTCCATTCATTGGTTAACACATCTTTCCATTTTACCAGTTCCTTAGGTCGACATGGGTCTGAGCAATGTCGCTCTGCCGCAGACCGACCATGTTCATCCATGTTTAAAAAATTCATGGTGAAAAGTGCCATTGCTATAGCCACCCATGGCACGGGGGGCAAACCCATCATTATTCCCCCTTTTTGCTTAAGGAGATATGATTTGAGTGTGCAATGTGCACGCTCAATAATGCCTTGTCCTTGAGGATTATATGGCAAGCCCGTGACATGTGTGACTTGCATTTGTGCACAAAACTGTCTGAATTTTTGAGAAGTATAGGCAGGCCCATTGTCAGTTTTTAAACATTTAGGCTTACCCCAGGCACTCCATGCCTCAAGACAGTGTTGAATCACGTGGGAGGTTTTCTCCCCAGTGAGTGGTGTGGCATGGAGAATGCCAGAGCAGGTGTCTATTGATACATGCACATATTGTAATTTCCAAAGGATGAGACATGGGTCACATCCATCTGCCAAACCTGTAAGGGCTGAATGCCTCGAGGATTAATTCCAAAATGGGGTGCAGGCAGAAACTGACAACAATGTTGACAATTGACAACAATCTCACGAGCCTCCTTCCTAGTGATGGAAAAATGGCGTCACAGGGTTTCAGAAGTCACATGAAAATTCTTGTGAAATTCCTTGGCAGCCTCTAGTGGCGGGGCTAGAACCATGGCAACCAATCTAGTTGCTTTGTCAGCCAAATCATTACCTAAGGCCATGGGTCCTGGTAGCCCGGAATGTGCCCTTATGTGAGTAATAAAGAAGGGCTGCCCTCTAGCAAGCAGACAATTTTGGATGTCCAGAAAAATGATTGCAACCTTGCTGGTCATTTTTATAATGCCAGCCGTTTCTAACAATTTTACAGCGTTAACTACATAAGATGAATCTGACACGATGTTCAATGGACCCTGAAACCTTTGTAGTACTTCCAAAACTACCATGCATTCCACCACTTGAGGCGATGTTTCCTGAAATTGTTTGGAGTATATTTTGCCCTCCACCACAAAAAGCTCCCAATCCTGTCTTAGACCCATCAGTATACACCACCAGTCCATTTTTAATAGGATGACTTGCGGTAATTTTTGGAAAAATCATAGGCTGGTTAAGGACAAATTGTAAAAGTGGATGTTTAGGATAATGATTGTCTATCTTTCCAACAAAGGTTGTGACCAAAATAGCCCAATCATTTGAAGTAGCGGCAAGGGTGGCAACCTGTACAGCATTATAGGGTACAATCAGCAAATTAGGTTCAATGCCGAAGTGCATGAGGGAGGCCTTTAATCCTCTCATGGCCAGTTGGGCCACCGCGTCCGGGTACCAATCAATAACTTTCATGGGAGAAGCATTAGGGTGTATCCATAATAAAGGACCTTGTTGCCATAATACTGCGGTCAGAAGCCCTTTTGTCCTGAACACGCATAGAGTAATCGGTTTATTTTCCTCTATGCGTGACAATTGAGCCATCTGTATGGCTGCTTCCACCTTTAGTAAAGCCTGTCTTACGGTGGGAGTCAATTCTCTTGGGGATGCAATGTGGCTATCTCCCTCCAACACATCAAACAAAGGCTTAAGCTCGGCGGAGGGAATTTTTAGAAAAGGTCTGAGCCAATTTATGTCCCCCAATAACTTTTGAAAATCATTAAGAGTATGTAGATAATCCTTTCTGATTTCTAATCTCTGCGGCACAATCTTATCTGGAAAGATCTTGGAGCCTAAAAAATGTCCAGTATCCGAGATTTGTACTTTATCTGTGGCTATATATAGGCCTCTCTTCTCCAATGCTTGCAACAATACAGGATATGCCAGTT